GGCACAGAAATATAAGTTAGTTGAAGTTTTTAGTATTTTTATTAGAGATTTTATGATGAGCCAACATGTCTGACACTCTTATTAAAAGACTCGCGACCCGAGTTTTGTCGTACAGGTTACTGAATAAATAGGACAGTTAATCCCTAAATGATTTGTGGAAAGTGCCGCGCCGAATATAAAATGCGATCAAATGATACTAGTCGTTCGTTTCAATTGTGAATTTTGATAAAAAACGTATTCTTATATGTGTATTTTTTTTTACGGGTACAAAAATATGAAGTTTAAAACGATTTACAAACAATAAAAGCTAAAGAGTGCCAAGAGCGTTAAAATGCGGCCAAGATAATGACACGAATAAAAAAATAAATAAATAAACGTAAACAATAACAAAAAAAAGGAGACAAATTTAATGCGTTTCTCACAACAAACTGGTAAAAGACATTATACAAAAAAAATCTTGGTGCGTGTGTTAAGTGTCTCTCCAAAGTTAGACGAATCAGCCATAATGATATTAAAAGAGAGATAGAAAAATGAAAAAAAAAGAAGAAGAAAAGAGTTGTAACAAAGAAAAAAAAATCATTTAAAAAAAGACATTTACCTTCGTGACATCTTACACACAAAGAATTATATCTGTCAATAATAACAATGTTAGAATGAATGAGAATTGAAACATCTATGGAAGAAAAATGCACAAACGAGAGGAAGCTGTATTACATAATGATCAACAAGGGGGGGAGGGGTCTACCGCGGCCCCCCTCCCTCTGTGGAATGGCGAGGGACCCCAGCGCCCTGCAGTGAACAGAGTCAATGTCTGTTCTTTTGTTCTTTTGTTTTTCCTCGTACAAGTACAAAAACTCATGTTGGAATTTCTTTTCTTTTTAAAGATGGTTGTTTTCGAGGTTATCGTCATGATTAAATTGTCCATTTGTTTTATTTTTTGTCTCTCACTCTTACGCTCAAACTCAGATGCTGTGGAATTCAACATCAAATTATTCTCTCTCTCTTACTATCTCACACTCACTCACTTACGAACTCATTCAACGCATGCACGCGCGTACTCTCTCTCTCTCTCTCTCTCTCTCTCTCTCTCTCTCTCTCTCTCTCTCTCTCTCTCTCTCTCTCTCTCTCTCTCTCTCTCTCTCTCTCTCAGCATTCTTCTCCTCACTCTACTTTACAACCATTTTAGCATTATCTACATTGTCTTTCTACAAGGGACGTTCTCGCTGGGTTCCTCTTGTTGTGAGCCTAGACGATCCACTCTCTTACTTTTTTTTTCTATTTTTATTTCATTTAAATCGTCGATCAAATAGAGCTTCCTAAATCTGAACTTGGGTTACTTGATCCTACGAAGAACTTCCTGAAACAAAGCAGACAAAAAAGAACAAAAAAATATGCAAATAAAATGCAAAGAAAGGCCTCTTAAGCCGCATCTGATATCCTGTAATGCTTGAAGGAAACACTCCATAGATTGGTTCCAATGGTCACAAAAAACAGAATTCTCCTTAAGTTCATTATGTGTCCTTAATGTGACTATCTACAAAGTATTTTTGCCGTTTTTTTTATGGGAATATTTTTTTTTATCATCATCGCCACCGTCATCATCAGTCACCATCATCATCATCATCCAAAGAAATTGTGCAATAAATAAGTTCACACACGTCGGAGCTGCTGCTGCTGTTGCTTCAGTCAGCGAGCGGGGTCCGGGAGCAGCGTGCCTGGCGATGGTCACAGCAGGAGGAGCTGGAGTGCCGAGAGTTAATGGAAAGAAATGCAAGCAAAAAATACTCGTGTAATTTCACATCCAAACCATCGTCATCATTTATTCCCCTTCGTGTTTTTTTTTTTCGTTTTTGTTTTTCGTCTGAATTCGACTTTCTGAAAGTCTCGCTTTCTGTGTCCTCCTAAAAAAACATTTTTTTTTTCTATCTCAGTTTTTCTTTAACACAAGTACTGTCTCCCGTGAAATGTTTTATAAGTTCACACTTAAGGAAGGAAGCAGGACCACCTTTGATTTTGGCATTTCGATAGGAATTCGCCTCGAAGGATGGACACACAGCAGCGGTGTTCCTCCTCCTGCTTGCGACCTGACTAGGATGACAGCCAACCGGCAATCCTCTCTTTCCTCGCGAGGGAAAACCGAGTCAGTGAGTCACTTGTTCATCATGTTCACTTTGCGAAAGACTCGCCGTCGGTCCACTTTTTCGTTTCCTTTGCGTCGTCAGCGTCTAAAGAACAGAGATTAATGATTATCGTGAGTTTACTTTACACTTTTTCGCACACTCGCATACCTACATTCATAAAGCGTAAAGGCCTTTAATGGGTTTAAAGCACTATACACGTATGTACACAACTAGGACTGTACACGGATCTTAACAGTGGCTGTAGGTGGGCGGCTGTGGGTGGCGCTCCACCTGCGTCGTCGCGCCCGCGTTCTCATGGATGGGCGCCAGCGGCGGCTTCAGTTTGCACACCACCTGCTCGCCGCTCAGCACCGCCACCGTCATCTCGCCCAGCTGCTGCAGCTGCTGCAGGTCGCGGTGCCGCTGGGCCGCCTCCCAGTTGCGCAGGTTGGGCTCGCTCAGCGGGTGCACCACCGGCAGCGCCTGCCCCAGCGCCGACAGCACCGCCGGGCTGTACTGCGCCATCGCGTCCAGCACGTCCCGCTCGCCGTCCGCCAGGCGCTGGCCGCCGGATGCCGCCGCCGCCTCCAGATACTGGTGGCCGCTGATGTGGCCGTTGCCGGGGGGCAGGGCGTGGGCGGAGGTCACGGCGGGATGCGACATGGGCAGGATGTGGCCCGGGCTCACCACGGTGTGGTCCATGTGGCCGCCCAGGTGCGGCCCCAGGCGGCCGCCGGGCAGCGTGTGCGAGTCGTCGAGGCCGTCGGGGTGGCGCGGGCGGGCCTTGAGGCGCGGGTCGTACTGCGGCAGCGGCTGGTGGTGGTGGGGGCCCGAGTGGCGGTCCGGCAGGGTGTAGGGCAGCAGGGGGCGGTGGTCGCCGTAGGAGCGCGACGACTGCCGCGAGATGTCCGAGCTGTGGCGCCGCCCGTCCTCGTCGCTCAGGTCGCTGACCTGCAGCTCGGAGCGCCCTTCGCGCTCGATCTCCTCGTAGACGGGGTCGCTGCCGCCGTCGCCACCTGCGCCGCGCACGCCGGCCGCCGCGGCGCCGTCAGGGATCTCCGTGTAGGTGTGGTTCCAGGGCGAGTGCGTGCGGTGCCCGCGGGGCCCGGCGCCCGACGACGGCAGGCGCAGTGTGGGCGCCTCCCCGCCCAGGCGGTAGTCGGGCAGCAGGGCCTCGGGGCCGGGCGACGGCTGGTCGTGGCCGACGGCGGCTGCGGCAGCGCCTGCGGCCGTGGTGAAGGGGTTGATCAGGTGGTCGGGCGGCAGGTGCGGCGCCACGTTGTTGTTGAGGCGCAGGGCGGCCAGCTTGGCGGCGGGGCCGGCGCGAGGCGAGTCCTCCTGCTCGGAGCCGCCGTGGCCGCTGTCTCGGCCGCACGACTTAAACGAGTACTTCTGCGGGAGAAAGAGGGCGTCAGGGCGGTGTGGGAAGGAGAGACTTTTAATAACAATGCAGACTTACGTTATACTTCAATCTCTTCAACTTTCTATCTCTTTGCATCTGAACATTTTGTTCTGTAAAAATAAAAATCTGTGCTAACAATACTTTATTTTGTGCTAATACATATTCATGAATCGAGATACACATATCATGCACAAACTATGCCTTAACAATCTACAAATATTACTCCTCATGCACAAAAGATACATCTAAAACCTTATCTAGAAAATAATAAAACATGCATTAGTTATACTGAAAGTGAACCTAGTCATGCAAAAGTAAAACCATGCGATGCGCTTGAAAATAGATGCTACAGAAGTCACGCGCCATGCACAAACGGCGGTGCTAACAGTGTTCTTTGGAACCGGCAAGTGAATCAAATTCTTTGGCTTCCTGATCTTTTAAGTGAACTACGACACAACTCATGCGCAAAGACTACGGATCTCCCTCCTGAAGGGACGGACTCGCAGGGCGGCGACCAGGCGGTGCTTGGAACTTCAAACAAGAGCAGTCTAAGCCTCGGAAAAAGCAATCACTAAAAAGAAAAGAAGTCATGCGCAGTCCTCGTGAGGCCCGCTGGAGCCAGCAGGAGCCGCAAGCGGAGGCGCAAGCGGTGCAGCAAAGGTCATGCGGCGGCGACAGTAACCTCATCTTCGTGGTCGAGCGCTGCGGTGCGGGTGTGCAGGTTGTGGTGGTGGAGGCGAGCCGAGCGGCTGCTGCTGTTCCTCTGGGGGGTGCGGGAGAGCGAGGCCCGGGAGAGGGACCCCCTGCCCAGCGACCCCCTGGAGAGGGAGGCCCTGGACAGCGACCCCGCCCGCACCGGGCCCGCCCCCATTCCCATTCCCGCTCCCCCCGCTGCTGCTCCCGACGCCCCCGCAGGCAGGTGGGGCATTCCCCCCCCGGCCTGCGAGGAGGAGGTGGTGGTGCTGTTCTTGCTTCCCCCCCGAGTCCAGCGGCCGGACGTCAGGCGAGGGACCAGCTGAGGGAGACACGGCAGGAGGAACCTCGTTAGTCACACCAGCTGCGGCGGCGGCGGAAGGCTTGGTCCTGGCTCCTAGCGGCCCCCAGGCGCGAGCTCTCTAACTCTTTTTCTTTGCCCCTCTCTCTAACTCTAACTACTATTATGTGAGATTCATTGATTATGTGTATATATATATATATATATATATATATATATATATATATATATATATATATATATATATATATATATATATATATATATATATATTGACTGAAATAAAATGCAACGATCTACAGTATCGTGTATTTCCATGATATATCAAAAATCGGTGTGAAACTATTAAACTAGAAACAAAATTCTACAGTAACCTAGTCACTTACACCCTTGACGTTAGTACAACCAAAACAAGAAAAAAAAGAGATAAAAAAACTAAACTAAATATAATTTTAAAAAGTAACTACTCAAACAAAAACACAAAGGGAGGATTTGTTTGTTTGTTTGCACTGCCAGGAAGGGAGTCACCAGAGCCCAAAGGGTTAATCAGAAAAGGATTAAGGATGGAAGGTGGTGGTGGTGTTGCCATCAAGGAGGGTGTTATTTAGAGAGACCAGCCATGCCCCGATGCCCAGAGCCCCAGTTGCCCCGCGAGTGCAAGTTAAACATCCCACACCGGATGTGATGCCAGGCGCTGTTATACGGCACCTCGTGGCATTACTATGGTACCCATGGCACTGCTACGACTCTCTCATGACAGGCAGACAGGCAGGCAAGCAGGTTACCGTTTTCTTTAACCACACGTGACAGATTTCGTTCGTTATAAGGTAGCCAAATGCCTTTCGTAATGGACGTCGTAATGGCTGGAGCGGAGGCCGTTTTCTTTTCCATTTCGTCTTTTTTCAGGGACGGGCTTTGTTTCGGTGAAGCCAAGGAAACGGAGCGAAAAAGAAAAGGAGGTGAGGAGGTGGAGGAGGATCGAAGGAGATACAAGAAGAAAAATAGCGATGATAACCATGGAGAAGATGAAAAAAGGAAGAGGAAGAAGAAAGAAGGAGACGAAGAAGAAGACGAAGAAGAAGAAGAAGAAGAAGAGGAAGAGGAGGAGGAAGAAGAAGAAGAAGGAAAAAAGAAGGGAAAGGAGACGGAGAATCAGACGAAAAAAAGGGAGAAAAGAGAATAAGGAGAAGGGCGAGGAAGAGGAAAAGGGCGCTGCCTCCGAATCAAGTTGGAGATCACATCCCGCCGGCAATCAGCATTACGCCGCAACATTAAGTTTCTCTCCGGTCGCGAGCGGGAAAATTACCGCGGGGGGAGGGGGGGAGGAAGGAAGGGGAGGAAGGGGAGGAAGGGGAGGCAAGGGGAGGAAGGAGAAGGAAGGGGAGGTGGGGAAGGAGAAGGAAGGGGAGGTGGGGAAGGAGTTGGGGGAAGAGGGCAGGGGATAGGGAGGGAGAGAAAGATTGAGGGGAAAGAGAGGGGAAAGGGGGGAGGGAGAGGGGGTGGTACGAGGGGAACGAAGGGGGAGGTGGTAGGAGGGGTGGAAGAGATAAAACAGTGGGATGAGAGGGCGGGGGGGATGAGGGGGGCAGGCAGGGGGCGGGGTGGGGTGGGGGGAGCAGGTGTGTTGGCGCGACGATTCCACCTGGGTCCATTATCATTAGCGCTGACCCTAATTGCACTCTGTTTGAACGCCCTCGTTTGTCTAAATCTCGAGACGCCGGGCGCTTTATATAAAAGACATTCAGGATCCTCATTCCTTCTCCCCCCCCCCCCCCACACACACTTCCCTCGTCCTTGACTTAGGTTTTTTTTTCCCCTCACATAAAAATAATAACTAAATGAATAAACAAATAGATTGAAAATTATGTAAAATAAATAAACAAATCAATTATAATTTTCATACTCCCCCCCCCACCCTCCTCTCCCCCGGCTACACTCCCACCCCACACCCCACACATGCGCACACAGCATCCATAAACTCCCCTCCAAGTTTATCATCCTCCTTATCCTCTTCCTTATCCTCCGTATCTTCCCTCCCACCTTCAAACGTCCCCCCCCCCCCCCTTCCCCCACCATTCCCCTTCCCCCCCCCCACCATTTACCATGTATGCCATCATCCTCCCACCCTGGCTGCCCCCCTCCCCGGCCCCCTCTTTTCGTCCTCTCCTCCCCCCTACCTCAACCACCCATATCTACCCCTCCCCTCCCTTCCTCCCCCTCCCCTCCCCTCCCGATACCCTCCAAAGGTCCCCCGGGCAAATCGCTGATCAATAACTCATTTTCATATCTATATTCCGACTAAGCTAAACATGACAGTAACTTACGCTGCTGGAATTACGCTCAGAGAGAATGGGGGGGGGATGCTGGACGGCTTGGGGGGGGGGGGAGGGGATGCTGGACGGCTGGGGAGGGTGGGTGGCCAAAGGGTGGGGGGGGGAGGTGGCATATGTGTATCGCTTTCCCCTTCCCCCCCCGTCCTCCCCCCTTTTTTTCCCTTACCCCTCTGGCTCTCTCTTTCTTTCTATCCCTCACCCTCTCTCTCTCTTTCTCTCTCCCCTTTCCTCCTTCCCTCTACCTTTCTTTCTCTCCTCCATCTATCGAGGGGGGAGGGGGTAAGAGGAGGGGGGCACAGGTAAGGAGGGGAAGGAGAGAGGGGAGGGTGGAGACTGGAGGGGGAGGGTGGAGATTGGAGGGGGAGAAGGGAGGGGGAGGGGGAGAAGGGCGAAGGAATGGGTGAATGGGGAAAGGAGCAAAGAAGAAAGCGAGGGAGGAGGAGCAGCGAGGAGGAGGAAAGGGGAGGAAAGGGAACAAGACAAGGAGGGGGAGGGGAGAGAGGAGAGAGGGAGCGAGGTTTTTCGTGTGTTTTCTTTTCTTCTCCTCTCTCTATTTTTATTCTTTATTGACCATCGCTCCAGACAATCGCAACAAACGAGAGAAAATCCAAGGAAAATCACCTTCTTAAAAAAAAAGGGAAAGAAAATGAGAAATCAATCCGATCCCATTCAATAACGCGATAAAACGCTACTTAATCATTGCACAAGTCAACATTAATCTGGGATCCGACCGTGATTGCAACATCAAGATATGCAACGCGAAGATGCCATGTGACGACAAATAGTATTCTCATTGGCTTCTTCCCTTTTTTCTCCTTCTTCTTCTTCTTTTTCTTCTTCTTTGCTCCCATCTCCCTCTCCTTCTTTTGTTTTTTTTCCCAGCATGTAAAAAAAGGGAAGTGACCCAAAAGAAAAGAGAAAGAGAGAGAGAGAGAAAGAGAGAGAGAGAGAGAAAGAGAGAGAGAGAGAGAGAAAGAGAGAAAGAGAGAGAGAGAGAGAGAGAGAGAGAGAGAGAGAGAGAGAGAGAGAGAGAGAGAGAGAGAGAGAGAGAGAGAGAGAGAGAGAGAGAGAGAGAGAGAAGAGAGAGAGAGAGAGAGAGAGAAGAGAGAGAGAGAGAGAGAGAGAGAGAGAGAGAGAGAGAGAGAGAGAGAGAAGAGAGAGAGAGAGAGAGAGAGAGAGAGAGAGAGAGAGAGAGAGAGAGAGAGAGAGAGAGAGAGAGAGAGAGAGAGAGAGAGAGAGAGAGAGAGAGAGAGAGAGAGAGAGAGAGAGAGAGAAGAAAGAAGAAGAAGAGAGAAAGAGAGAGAGAGAAGAGAGAAAGAAAGAAAGAAAGAAAGAAAGAAAGAAAGAGAGAAAGAGAGAAAGAGAGATAGAGAATCAGTGATCAATGCTCCCTTGCTACCGACACCGATGGGAGACGAGGAAATTCCCTAAATAACAAAAAGAACAAATATTTCGTCCGCGATTTCCTCTGGTGTAAATTATTTGGCATGAATTCTCTCTCCCGTACCCTAGGCCCTCCCATCCCCTCTCCCCCCCCTCCCCTCCAACCCATCTCTTCCCTTCCTCTCTCTACCCTATCCTCCCCTCCCCTCTCTGTGTCCCTTTCCTCTCCCCTCCCCTTCTCCTTCCCTCTCCTCTCTTCTGCCCTTCCCCTTCCCCTCCCCGCGGAGATCAAAACATAACAGCATAAATGAACGCACGGGCAAGGCGGATGAACGGTCCCGCATTCATTTCCCCTTCCTTTGATGAAGCTCGTGTTCCGATAATGCCAACTGAGCTGCTAAGGGAGATGGAGGGGGGTGGGTGGGTAAAGGGGAGGGGGGGAGTCATGTCATTCCTGCTATTTCTGCTTTTACTGCTTCATTCTGCCTGCCTTTTGCTGTCAAGGCGGAACGTATCCTTGTTCTTGGCCTTCTGTTTGTCTTTCTCCCCATTCTCTTTTTCTTCGTCTTTTCTCTACTTCTCCTACTTCTCCTCCTCCGCTCCTACTTCCCCTTCCTTCTCCTCTACCGACTGACAGCCATTATTCACGGGGTTTTAATCTGCTAAAACTGAGTGATCTCTAAAGTTGTTCTTTAATGGGAACGCGAGTCTCTGAGGAGTAATGATTCGAGGGGGACGTCGAATCGGAGGTCCCCACGTCGGAGTCGAGGAACAGAAAGTCCTACCATTTCCTCTCCCGTTTTACTTTCCTTCGTGCGGTCCTTGCCTCGTCTGCATTTGTCTTCTAAAAAGTAAGTCGTTCGGGAATTGAACCTGTCAATGCGAAAAACATCATGTCGGATCATGTTTAAGAGATGATGCGTTTGTTGTTCACGAACCGAAGCCCAACGCAACATGCTTCCACTATTGAATGTAATCAAGTGAGGATAACACAAGAAGCCTCCGGTGGCATCCATCATGCAACACTTCCTCTGCTCTTCCTCCTTCGGCAGTCGGGGACCTCAAGCAACACGGACTCGAGCCCCAAATGCTGTCGGATCCCTCGCCCGATCTCTCCTCCTGCCCCATGCATGCCCTGGTCAGCGGAAGACATTTCTCGGTGCGTGCAAGCAACCGAAGGAAGTCTCAGATTCCCGCGAGGTCCCGGGAAGGAGCGAGGCCTCGACGCCCGCGCTCCGCCCGTCTTCATCTTCAGAGCCTAGGGATGTCAGCTTCGTGGCTCCGCTCGTCACCCGCCACGGCTTCTTGCTTATCTCGTGTTAACACTAACGCTGGATTCTCTTTTAATATCAAAATAAACAAAACAAAAAGGAAACATGTCAGAGAGGTTACACCAGTTACTTCCATCTACCAGAACATCTACGTGGCTATGCCTTCTAGTTTTACGATGCCCGCCACCAGACTGCAGCGTGCCACGGGGACACCTCCCGTCTCAAACCAAGCTTCCAGTCAGGTCTCCGGACTGACTCGGTCCTGGTTTTTAAAATCCTGTTCATTGAGAAACTGCAGTTTATAGCATGTTAAAGTGATGAAGGTTTTTAAATTAAATTAAAAAACAAATTAAAATCTACATGCGCCAGACCCTCTTGCACGTTCACCACGAGAAGTGACATCTAGATGTACCCACAAGCGTTAATAGCAACCGTGATCGTCTAAGACCAGCAGGCCCTTGAAGGGACTCCTCAGTCGCCGGTTATGAAAGCAGACCTCCGCTTCTGGACTGAGAGAGTGCTTGCTCGAGGTCTTGGGAGTGAGTGACAGCGTGCGTGCGACTCTAATCGGATTTTTTCTTTTTTGAGGCGTGAGTTAAAAAAAATACCTTTCATACTGTTGTTGGTGTTCTTTTGAGGCCTCTCCGGTTTGGTGGGGGGAGGGTTACTCTTGGGAGTGCTGGGGGGGTGGGGGGAGGTGGAGGCGGTGGTGGTGGTGGCGGTGGAGGAGGGTGGGAGGTGGGGAGAGGGGTGGGGGGACGAGTCAGGTAGGTCGTCAGGAGAAGGTATGGATGGAGGGGGGTGGCCGCCCCCGCCCTTGGAGTTGAGGGGGTAGGAGGGGTGGGGAGGCGCGCCGCCGCCCTCGTGCTGCAGGCCGCCGCCGAGGGCGCTGGAGGCGAAGTGGGACTTGGGCTGGAGGTAGTTGGAGTCGTCGGGCGCCAGGTGGACGGCCGAGAGGGGCAGCTGCAGCAGGTTGTGGTAGTGGTGGTGGTCGAGCGCCTTGGGGTTGCTGGAGTGCAGGGAGGACAGGGCGGCCTGCAGCATGGTGGGGCTCAGGGCCAGGCTCGACACGGCCTGCTGCTGCGCCCGCAGGTGGGGGCCCATGGGCAGGGGCGTGGAGCGCGGCTGGATATAGTGGTGGAGGGCGGCGGTGGAGATGGGCGGGCCGGCCGTGTCGTACAGCTGGGAGAGGGTGGGCGTGGGGGGCGGGGAGGAGTAGATCTGGGCGGCGTTGACCTGCTGGATGTGGAAGGGCAGGGCGTTCTGGTAGTCGGGCGGGGCCGTGGGCGAGGACGAGGCGGGCTCGGCCGCCGGGGGCGTCGAGGGCGGGAGCGCCGGCAGGCTGAAGGCCACGCTGAGCGCCCCGACGGGGGAGCCCGACTCGTCCACGATGGTCGGGTGGGCCTGGGACAGGTGGTGGGCGGCCAGGTGGGTCAGGTTGGCGGGAAGCGGGAGGTGGTGTGCGAGGGGGGCGGGGGGCAGGGGCGGGGTGGCGGGCGGGGCGGGGTGGCAAGCAAGGGCGTCGTGGGAGGAGCTACCCACTGTATGCGAGGAGTGCGAGTTCGACTGTGAGTGGGAGGCGGCATTGTGGGAGGTGCGGGCGTCCTTGCCGGTCTGCGAGCGGTCGTGGGCGGCGCACAGGCACGCCCGCAGCCAGGGGTGTCGGCGACCCGCCCTACGTAACTCCTTCTTCACCTACAGAGGACAGACACACACTATGTATCCACCTGGCACAGCTTCACACGCGCGTACCCTCCTTGAAGGCACCCTACACATGCGGCGTGCCTTCAAGGCGGGGGCACGCAGGCACCGCCCTGCCGCCCGGCCAGGGCTGCGTGCGGCCGGGCCCCCAGAGGCACTACTGTACACTTCGAGGGCCGCGGCCGCAGCCCAAGCCGAGCCAGCACGCGGCACAAGCTCTGCGTTGGTGATATCTACACAAGGGCACTGCTTTGTCTAAGGAGATAAACATTCAGGCTACTTTATACACAAGAGATTAACTAATGAAATAAACAAAAACAAAATCAAATCGTTAACAGAAATATATTACTCCAAAAATTAGTAAACAAAAATAGACTAAACAAATTAACCGTAACCAAGGGAGGGTTAATGATATAACATAGCAAAATCGTATCTACAGCAAATTACATTTAGTAAAATGATTAGTTTTATAATACTGTGAGGACATCCATAACCATAATTGATTAATAGTATGCAAAGTGTGAAAAACAAGGGCTATATAATACAACGCAAATAATACAAACTATAAGGGCCCCATTCACACTCTTTGCACATGAGGGAGAGAAAGGAGAGAAGGAGAGGGGGAGAAAGATAATGAAAGAGAGAGAGAAGGAAAAAGAAAAGCAGCAGGAGAGAAAGAGAATAGGAGAGAGAGAGGATGGGGAGAGGGAGAGAGAGAAGGGAAGAGAAGAGAAGAGAAGAGAAGAGAAGAAAGAGAAAAATAGACAGATAGATAGAGAGAGAACGCAAGACAAAAGGTATAGACCACTCACACAACACAGGACATCCAATCACACCTTGACCAAAATAACACAAAAAAATAAAATAAAACAATAACACTAACAAAAAAAAAGAAAAAAAAAAAACCCAAGACCCCAACCAGCGCCCTCTGTCCCCCTTACCTTGTCGTTCTGGACGCAGTGGAAGATGAAGATGAACAGGCCCTGCAGCGAGTTCAGGACGGTGAACACGTAAGCCATCACGACGGAGGCCTGGTTGAGGTAGAGGAGGCCGAAGGTCCACGTCAGCCCCAGCAGGAACATCAGCACGACGGCGCCTCGGACCCAGCTCCTGCAGAAGGCGCGGACGGAGGGAGGGAGAGAGAGAAGAAGAAGGATTAGCTTTATGATTGGGGAGGGAGAGGGATCGGAGAGGGGGGATGGGGATTGGAGAAGGGAAGGAGAGGGACATGAAGAAGGATGAAGGATGGAGGATGAAGGATGGAGGATGAAGGAGAAGGATGGGGGAGGGGGGAGGGAGACGGGGAAAGAAAGCGAAAAGGAGGAGGGGACGGGGAATGCAAAGGGGGAGGGAAAAGGGGAAGGAAAATGGGGAAGGAGAAAAAGAAAAGGGAGTTATGGGGTATGGATGGATGAGGAAGGTAAAATTCAAGGATATCGAGGAAAGAAAAGGCAAGGGGCAAGGGGGGGGGGGGAAGGGATTGGGGCAAGGGGGGGGAAGGGATTGGGGCAAGGGGGGAGGGGAAACAAGGGGGGTATGTTTGTGGGGCAGGGGGGGGGAGGGGAAACAAGGGGGTATGTGAGCGGGGCAAGGGGAGTTTGGGATAACGGAAGACTAAAAGGAGAAATACGAAACATGGAAATATACCTGTCTGTTAAAGTCATACGTATTGTCACAAGGGAAGGAAGGGGGGGGGGTTAAATCGAATAATTATACGGAATTCGAATAATTTAATCGGAATAATCTGTGTAAGGTCAGATTTTGCTTTATATAAAAACATATAAACAAAATATTGTTTTTACACTTGAATTAACAAAAACATTCTACAAAGAAACACACAAAAAAAAACATATAATATATACACAAAGCTCTTGGTATAAATGTCGAGGAAAAACATCACAGGCTTATAAATACAAGGTCAGTCTAAATAACATCACACGCAAAGATAATCATTTGATTGATTGATTGTGTGTGTGTTTGTGTGTGTACGTGTGTGTGTGTACGTGTGTGTGTGTGTGTGTGAGTGTGTGTGTGTGTGTGTGTGTGTGTGTGTGTGTGTGTGTGTGTGTGTGTGTGTGTGTGTGTGTGTGTGTGTGTGTGTGTGTGTGTGTGTGTGTGTGTGTGTGTGTGTGTGTGTACGTGTGTGTGTGTACGTGTGTGTGTGTGTGTGTACGTGTGTGTGTGTACGTGTGTGTGTGTACGTGTGTGTGTGTACGTGTGTGTGTGTGTGTATACGTGTGTGTGTGTGTGTACGTGTGTGTGTGTGTACGTGTGTGTGTGTGTACGTGTGTGTGCGCGCGAGAGCGTGTGTGTGTATTTTCCTCATGTGCATATCTGGTCATTCAAACTATTCAAGAACCTGCCGCCATTCGAGTCTCAACTCAAAAATCGTCATGCTCTCCTCTGTGCACTACAGGTGTAAACAAGCAACCTGTAATTTTGCAACATAATGCAGTCTGGTGACTTTGAATCTCCCTCGGTCTGCCAGCCAGTGCCCATCCAGTACGACTGCCATGCTGTATCGGGGCAGTGCCACGTGCCAAACCCTTTCCCTCTTTCACATTGATTTTTCTTTTTAATAAAAAAAAAATCTCACTGTCATTTCTCTGACCTTAACACAAATTCCCATTCTTCACTCTTCCCTTTTCAGCTTTTTTTTATTTTTATCTACACTTCTAATCCACACATAAGCCTAGAAATCCACTCCCACCCGAGGAACGACGGACGGCCCCGCCTGGTCCTTTCCTCGCCAAAGAATAGCTGCTCCTCCAATCAAGTCTATACAAGTACTTTGCGCTCGCTCTCGCTCTCTCGGTCTCTCTGTCCTTGTCTTTTAGGGTCTGGTCATTTACACTTCAAAGCCACGCACGCACGCACGCACACACACACACGCACACACACACAAATATATAGGCTAAGGAGTCCCACGCTCTTTCCATAAGTAAACACTCAATATAAAAGCAGTCTTTCTACACTGATCTCGATTACAGCGATGCCCCCTAGAATAAGGTATAAATGCAAATAGCCTGTCGTCAGCAATGCTTATATCTCAACGTAAACTACGGATTGCCGAAAATATCTACCGAGATGCTAAATAGAAGCTGCACCCCTCCTTTCCTTATTTTATTTATCTATTTTTATAAATTTATTGATAATAATAATTTTTTTTTTGTCTCATACACACACAGACGCCTTTCCACTGTCTCTTCTTCGTTTGCCTCTGTCTCAGTTTCTGTCTCTCTATTCTTGGCGATCCTCTCGTCAGAAAACGATCGAACCCGAAGCCCCTGGGTAGTAGTTGTAATAGTAGTAGTAGTAGTAGTAGTAGTAGTAGTAGTAGTAGTAGTAGTAATAGTGCCACGTGACTCACCAAACAAACAAACAAGCTCTACGTGTTAGTTAGTGCCATCAAGGAGGTGCAAAGCGTCAAGGTTCTGAACCTAACGAGAAGCGAGACCGAAACCGCCCATGCACGCGAGAATTAGAAGGAAAAAAAGGATGAAGATGAGACAAGAAGAGGAAGATGAAGAAGAAAAAAAAACATGGAAAAAAAACAACAGGAGAGAAAAAAAGGCCAAGCAAGGCAGGATACACAAGCCCTCCACCACCACCGCCTCCTCCTCCTCCTCCTCCGCCGCCGCAACTCCTGCAGAAGGCGAGTGCGACTCTCTCAAGACGGTGCTTCCTTCACGCCACGCCTCGCCTACAATCTGCCTTCCGCCCTGTGTCTCGAACCCCGGTCTGTCTCACGGCTTAAACAGCTGATTTGAATGTACAGGTTGTTTTTCTCTTGTTTCTATTGTTGGGTTATTGTCACCATCATTTTTAAATGGTCAACTGTAAGTAATAACAAATCGGATTTTTCGCGAGACACAAGGCATAGGCCGATTCTAGAGTCGCGTGGTCACGCGAGGATCTATACAAAATGAAAAAAAATGTACGAAAACAATTTCTTACACATGAGCCTGCATTTTGTCGAGCAGCGCACTCTCCTCTCCACCACTACCATCATCATCATCACCACCATCAACACCATTACGAGTAACAACACCGACACAACCACCATGGCAGACAGCATCGGCCACCGCGGCGGCAGGGACAGGCACAGCAGCAGCGAGAGCAGGAACAGCAGAAAGATGGAGACCAGGAGAGTCAGCGGGGCCCACGGTGGGTGCGATGTGGTGGTGGGTCGAGACGGAGGTAAACACGAGGTTAGTATGTGAAGGAGCCGCCCACCCTTGCCCACTGCCGGGCGCGGCTCTAACCCACCACACTGTGTTGCACTTACTCGCTAATACGTTACTGTTAGTCCATCAGAAATGAAGAAAAAAAACAAACGTAAAATAATGAAAAAATTAGGTGATTGCAGGACTACTTCTAGAAGTGATGCACCTAAGAAATTACTACGGGAAGATGTTAGTTTCTGTTATTGCTGTTACTGTTGTTATCTTTTAGAGACTACCAAGGGGGTATGCTTAGTTTCTACTGCTACTACTTGTTAGGCCGGCTACATAAACAGCCTACAGGGGGTACAAACATAGAAGGTCTTAGGCCTACTACTTGCACTCTGAAACTACACTCTCTCAGAAGGCATTTTTATGATTATAAAAAAATAGGCTATTTCTTTTACAGCTTCTGATCTTCCTCCTTCTTCCCTCTCTTCTTTGCATACATTCCCTCTATTTCTTTCCCTGCTCATTACAAGCATTCTTTTCCCTCTTAATTTCACCGCCCTCCCTTACTTTCGTATTTCTTCACCTCTCTTCCTTCTCCTCCCTTTCTTCCTCCTTCCTCCTCCTCCTCCAACACCTACCTGACGGAGGCCAACTTAGTGTGTTCCTTGTTCTTGACGGAGGCCGAGAGGTTGGCGTGGCGACACATGATGAACAGAGACATCGTCAGGAAAATGGAGTTGGCCTGAAAAAAAGGAAGAAATAAATGATATTAAAACACATATGACTTCAATAAATAGGGTTGAAAAGGAAGACAAAGAAGACAAATTAAATCATCATGAAAAGTGACGTCGTTTTTTTGGTGACGTCAATTTTTTGTACGAGAAGGAAAGAGGAGAGAAAGGGAAGATAACACTAACCCCACTCCCTTGCCCTTCCCTCCACTCCCTCCCTTTCACTCCTTCCCCTCCACTGCTTTTTCCTTTCTTGCCTCCCCCGATTCTGTCACCTTCGTTTCCCGCTTCCCACTTCTCCTTCCCTTACCCTTTATCTCATTACTTCCATCCCCCTTCCTTCCTTCCCACCCCCTTTCCCTCCCTCCCTTCCTTCCTCCTTTCTCTCCTTCCCCTTCCCCCCTTCCTTCCTTCCTTCCTCCTTTCCTTTCTTCTTTCCCTCCCTCCCTTCCTTCCTCTTTTCTCTCCCTTCCCTTCCTCCCTTCCTTCCTCCTTTCCCTCCCTCCCCTTCCTCCCTTCCTTTCCCTCCTTTCTTCCCTTCAAGCCCAACCCCTCTCCTCAGCTCCACCCCCAACGCCCACCCCCACCAACTGAAACGCCCCCACCCATTAACCTTCCGAACCGAGTCGAAATTCCGCAGAAACCAAATGATTATCTCGAACCAGGGGCGTGTGGACGGGCGTGTGGGCGGGCGGGCGAGGGGAAGGTACGCCCTCACGCCCATGGCATACGAATGGTGGTAAGCAGGAGGGGGGGGGGCAAGGGGAAAAAGATGGAATAGGAACTGCAGGAGGGATGTGTGAGTGAAGAGGAATGGAGGGAGGGAATGGGAGAGAGAGAGAGAGGGAAGGGGAGGAAAGGGGAGGTAGGGATAGGGAGAAAGAAGGGGGGAAGGGAGGAAGAAGGGAGGAAGAAGGGAAGGTGAGGGAAGGCTGGAGGGAGGGAGTAAAAGAGAGAGGGAAGGAGCGAAAAGAAGGGAGGTAAAGGGGGCACAGAGAGGTAAGGGAGGTAAGGGAGGGAGGTAAGAAAAGGGAAAGGGACAGGGAGAGAGAGAGAGAGAGAGAGAGAGAGAGAGAGAGAGAGAGAGAGAGAGAGAGAGAGAGAGAGAGAGAGAGAGAGAGAGAGAAACAAATAGAGAGAGAAACAAAGAGAAAGAAAAATAACGAGAAAGAGAGAAACAGAACGAGAAAGAAAGAAAGAAAAAAAAGAGAAAGAGCCACTGACTCCTTACTCCCCCTCTCCCATTACCTCCTCCCCCGCCCCACCCCCACCGATAATGACAACAACAACAAAAAGGAAAATCTTAGCAATCAGACGTGTTGAAAACATCTATAACCTGCGCCTTTCGAGACTGCTAACAAGATAAGTTTGTAGCGCCGGCAAAGTTTCCGAGACACAACACAAAACAACATGTAACACGTGGGGGGAGGGGGGAGGGGGAGGAGGAGGAAGAAGAAGAGGAGGGAGGAGGAGGAGGAGGAGAAGGAGGAGGAGGAGGGGGGGAGAGAAAGAGGAGGTGGAGGAGGAAAACACAATATAAAACGAAGAGAATCACAAAAAAGAAACAGAAAGAATGGAAAAAAACGAAAGAAAGGAAAAAAGAGAGAGAACAAGAACGATCAAGATAAAGACGAGAGAGAGAGAGAGAAAGCAGAAAAGAGCGAAAGACAAATCAAAAGAAAAAAAACAAAAATCACGCGAAAAAAGAAAGAGAAACAGAGAAACCGAGAGACAAAGAAAGAGAATGAGAGAGAACAATCCACCCCCACCCCTGCAGCGCTCCCCCTTCCCCCTTCCCCCTCCCCCCCTCCCCCATGCCACCCCATATAACAAGCACCAAGGGCAATATTCGAGAAGTTTGACGTCGACCGAACTTCACGGAAATGAACGAGGGCGACGGCTACGCAACGATTCAAGAAATGTGAGAAAAAAGGACTAGGTTTGAAAGTTTAAGTTTAAATAGAGGGATATATAAATAAAGTTTATTTGGAAGACGATACTTAGATAAACAAAAAAAAATTAAAGTTTAGTTGGGAGACAATACCAAGATGATAAATAAACAAACAAATAATTTAGTGATGAACAACCTGTGTCCAACAACGAATAAAAAACGAAATAAACACAAGTAAAAACAAACAACAAATCAATGAAATATCTAAATATAAAAAGAAAAGAAAAAAATGGAAAAGTAAAAAAGAAAAGAAAAGAAAAAAAACTCAGTGAAGGAAATATTAATTATCGGGAATCATCAAGAAACGGAAAAGATTTCTTGCTTGTTGACTGACAGGAAGGAGACGGGAAGAGGAAGGAGGAGTGAGGAGAGGAGGGGAGAGAAGAGGAGGAGGAAGGAGGGGAGGGGAAGGAAGAGGAAGAAGAGGAGAGGAGAGGAGAGGAGAGGATGGGTGGGAAGAGGAAGGAGAAGGGAAGAGGAAGGAGGGAAGGGAGGGGGAGGGGAGGGGAAGAAAGGTAGAAGAAGGGATGAGGGGGAAGGAGAGGGGAAGAAAAATGGCGAAGAAGGAGGAGAGGGAAGGAAAAGTGGGGAAGAAGGGGAGAATTAGAGGCGAAGAGAGAAAGGGAAGAGGAGAGAATAAGTTGCCATGAGAGAAAGGGAAGAGGAGAAAGGAGAGGCGAAGAGAGATGGGGAGGAGCGAAGGAGAGAAGGAAAGGCGAAGAGAAAGGGGAAGAGTGGAGGAGAAGAGTGGTGGGGAAAAGGGAGGATAGCGGGGAAGAGGGAGAAGAGATAAGAAGGACAGAGGGGAAGAGAAGCGAGGTTGAGAGAGAGAGCGAGAGATATGGAGGAGAGGTAGAAGAAAAAAATAGAAAAAGAAGAGATGAAAGGTAAATAAAAAAAAAATGAGAGAAGGGAGAAGAAAGAAAGAAAGAAAAAAAGGAAGAAAGAAAAAAAAGGAAGAAACAAAAATAAACACAGAACTGATAAACTAAAAGACAATGAGGAAGAGAGACGAGGAAAGAGAGAGGAAAGAGGAGACGGTGAAGGAAGAAGGGAAAGGAAAGGGAGGGGAGGGAGGGGAGGGAGGGAGGGAGGGGGAGGCTACAGGTATTGGAGAGCTCATCTAAATTTTGTATAAAGTTGTGCTTCGTCTGGTAAATGGTTGATCAGGTGTCCAAACACTGATCTACATATCGAAGGAATTCTATCAGCGCCGACAGTGCGGGCGCCATGCTTCATCTCGGGAACAAAGGCAGGGGAGGGGAAGGGGGGGAGGGGAAGGGGGAAGGGGAAGGGGGGAGGGGAAGGGGGGGAGGGGAAGGGGGAAGGGGAAGGTGGGAGGGGGAAATGGGGGGGTGTTAAGGGGAGAGGGGGAGGGGGGATATATAGGGGAGGTGTAAAGTGGGGGGCAAGAGGAGAGGGGGAGAAAGACAGAAAGACAAAGAGGAGAGAGGGAGAGAGAGAGATAGAGGGAAAGAGAGAGAGAGAGAGAGAGAGAGAGAGAGAGAGAGAGAGAGAGAGAGAGAGAGAGAGAGAGAGAGAGAGAGAGAGAGAGAGAGAGAGAGAGAGAGAGAGAGAGAGAGAAATCCGCCCGGATCTCCAAAGAGCTGATTAATACGGCTAAACGCAATAGACTACATCAAAGGGGAGAGGAGCGCAGTACTCCGAAGGGGAAAAAAGAAAGAGAGAGAGAGAGAGAGAGAGATAACAAAAAAGGGGAAAGAGGGGAAAAATCTACCTATCGTAACCAAAGCCTAAATTCTGATGCAATCAAAGGTTGTTCCATAATTGGGTAAGGGAAACTCAGCTCGCGAGGAGGACGGCGAGGGGAAGCTGTGCGCAGAAGGTAGCGAGGGAGCAGGAGGAGGAAGAGGAGGAAGAGGAGGAAGAGGAGGAAGAGGAGGAAGAGGAGGAAGAGGAGGAAGGAGGAGGAAGGAGGAGGAAGAGGAGGAAGGAGGAGAAAGAGGAGAAAGAGGAGGAAGAGGAGGAAGAGGAGGAGGAGGAAGAGGGAGGAGAAAGAGGAGGAGGAGGAGGGGGAACCATGGGAAGCAGAGGAAGAGGGGGAGGAGGTAGGGGAAAAGGAGGAAGAGGGGAAGGAAGAGGAGGAAGAAGAGGAGGAGCAGGAAGGAGGAGGAAGAAGAGGAAGAAGAAGAGGAAGAGGAAGGCGACGAATAGAAAGAGGAAGAGCACAATAATTAGAAGAGGAAACAAACAGGGAGAGGAAACGAAGAACGACGAAGAAGAGGAGGAGTAGGGCTTCGAAGAGAGAGAGGGAGAGAGATCTCAGCTGAAGAATCGGACAGAGGAGTCCTGACCGGCAGAGACGCCGAAGAAGTTACAAACACAAACATTTACCTTTTCGAACAAGTCAATACCCTTCCCTTCCCACCCTCCCCCTCCTCCCTTCACCCCCGAACTCCTAAAAGTCCTTCCTGCTCATTCCCTGGCCGAAAAAGGGGGGGGGGGTCCTCCTGCCTACCATTCCCGAGCACTATCCGAGTCGTGGGTTGACTGCTGACGAGCAAGCCAGCCGGGCCTAATCGACCAATGCGTTCTTGCCGCCATGACTCCGGGTTGCCTGAGTTTTCTGAAAGCGCTGTCAGCCATCCCGTGTCGTCAGCCCTTGTCAGGACACAAAAAATAAGGTATATAAATCTATGGCCCCGCGCTCCCCAAGTCGCTCGGAGTTGCAATGACCCTCGAGCGGTGAGCCGCGTCGTCTTCACGTTAAAAGGCAATCTCGCGTCAATCCCTTCGGAGGAGACTCGAGGCACAGGCCCTCTTCCCTTCCTTCCCCCAGGCGCCCTTCCACGACGACTAGAGGGGGGAGGGGGGAGGGGGGAGGGGGGAGGGAATGAAGGGGGAACAGGACAGTCTCGGACGCCCCTTCCAGTCCTACCTCCTCCTTTTCCTTCTAGCCTATCCTTTTCCCTTTCTCCCAGTTCCTCCTTTCCTCCCTCCCTCCCTCCCTTCCCCTCTCCTTTCGTCCTCGCGCACTGAAGCCCCGAGGGGAGAGGAAAAGCCTCCCCGCGTATACATCCAGACAGGCTTCAAAGGCACATGAGATAACCAGCTTCCATATCGAGAGGGCGAGCTGGATTTGTTTATATAGCTGATTGGCCATCTTCAGAATTCCAATTTGCTCAGGGCGCCTGTCCGCCCGTGTTTACAGGCAGGCCGCTCCAGTTGGAGACGGATGCGAGCTCGACCCGTCTCGTCGGTCTGTCGCTCTGCCTCTCTTTATATCTGTGCCTGTATGCTACTCGTCGACCTGTGAATCTGTTTGTCAGTCTATTATCCTATCTACCAGACTCTCCGTCCCTACACAACTCTTCACTACCGCGTATCCGATTGTCTGATCGGATATCCCCGTCCGTCCGTCCCTCAGCAGGGAGATCCATTCCTGCAAACACCATCGAAACGTCCTTCCCTCCCCCCTCCCCCTCTCCCCGGCAGCGAAAGGCGAGGGACGCCAATATCAATCAAATCATCCATCTATCCCGATTCCAGACGGGGTGCTGAAACAGTTTGTCCTTCGGTGAATGCTTTTCCTCTTGCCCTTCCCTCCCTCTCCCTCTCCCTCCCTCTCTCCCTCCCTCCTCTCTCTCTCTCTCTCTCTCACTCTCTCTCTCTCTCTCCCTCCTCCTCCCTCTCTCCCTCTCCTCCCTCCCTCTCTCCCTCTCTCTCTCTCTCTCTCCCCTTCCTCCATCTTTCCTCTCCACTTCCTTTTCTCTCCCACTCTCTCTCCTTCCTCCCCCTCTCGCCCACTCCCTCTCCCTCTCGTTAAGCAAGAAGCGAGGCTAAGCTAACAGGATAACAAGCTACGATTGACAACAAAGTAATTAGATACGGCGAACGTTGGTGGCAGATATGGTGTCACTGTTGTCAATCAGGCGTTGTCTCGAGGGGGGGTGGGTGAAGGGGGGGGTAGTGATTTCGTAGATAAGGTTTTGTGTTCTTATGATACAGCGAACAGACGATCCGCGGGGCCTTGTTGCGTGAGGTAACATGCCATGACAGCGAGGTCTCTCAGGGAGGAAGAGAAATACAAACTGGAAGATGGGAGGAGGAGGAGGAGGAGGAGGAGGAGGAGGAGGAAGGGGGGGGAGGAGGAGGAAGGTGGGGGGAGGAGGAAGGAGGGAAGGAGGAGGAGGAAGGGAGAGAGCGGGAGAGGAGAGGGTGAAAGGGAAAGGAGAGAAATGAGAAGAAAGGAGGTGAAAAGAGATTAGAGAGAAAATATACATGTGATGTAAACGGAGATTTACAGAGCGGGAGAGAGAGTGTGAAAGAGAGAGAGAGAAAGAGAGAAAGAAAGAGAGAGAGAGAGAGAGAGAGAGAGAGAGAGAGAGAGAGAGAGAGAGAGAGAGAGAGAGAGAGAGAGAGAGAGAGAGAGGAACACGGGCGCTTCTGTACCGTCCACCAGCGGCTGGTAGATTAGATATTTTCCACACCTGATTTCTGCTCCCGAGTTAATTTGCAACTGCGAAATGAACTATGCAAATTAAACACGATACCCTGTCTGTCAGCGGGAGGAGGAAGGGGGAGGGGGAGGGGGAGGGGGGAATAGAAAGAGAGGTCGGGGAGGGGCGATGGGGAGGGGCGATGGGGAGGGGATGGGGAGGGGAAGGGGAGGGGGGAAGGTAATGGTATGGAAGGGGCTGCAAGGGGAATGGAGGGAGGGGGGTCGCGGGACGGGTAAGGGGGGAGAGTGGACGAGGAGGGGGGCGGATGTCGGGAGTTTGAGGGGAAAGGGGGCAGGAAAAGCGAAGGAGGAGGAGGAGGAGAGGACGATAGGTACACGCCAGCCGAAGACCGAGGACGAAGAGGGAAATGTTAAAATGAACAATAAAGACGGCACACTGAGAAGGGCGCGAAGAAAAGGCAATATACATACGATGAGACAAGAGAAAGATAAGAAGATAAAGTAAACGTCTAGAAGAGAAGAGAAAGTAGAGTGGAAAATGAACAGTGGATGAGAGATAAAGCAAAAAAGAGATCTGCCCTTTCTCTCTTTCTCTTTCTTACCCTTATCACCCCCCTCTCTCTCTCTCTCTCTCTCTCTCTCTCTCTCTCTCTCTCTCTCTCTCTCTCTCTCTCTCTCTCTCCTTCTCTCTCTCCTTCTCTCTCTCCTTCTCTCTCTCCTTCTCTCTCTCCTTCTCTCTCTCTCTCTCTCTCTCTCTCTCTCTCTCTCTCTCTCTCTCTCTCTCTCTCGCAGACCGATCCACACATTACTTTGCTATCCGTTTTTTTTGGTAAATCGACGGCAGATACAAAACAAAACGGCTAAATTATGCATGGGCTCGTGACGTCCACAAAACAAGATAAACAAACACTCCGGCATGCATAATGGAACAACACGAGAGCAAAGCACCCCCTCTTACGCCCCCCCTACCCTTCCCCCTTCCCCCAAATCCCCCTCTTACGCCCCCCTACCCTTCCCCCTTCCCCCAACTCCCCTTCTTACGCCCCCTACCCTTGCCCCTTCCCCAACTCCCTCTCTTACGCCCCCTACCCTTGCGCCTTCCCCAACTCCCCCTCTTACGCCCCCCTACCCTTCTCCCTTCCCCCAACTCCCCCTCTTACTCCTATACCCTTGCCCCTTCCCCAACTCATCCTCCTCCTTTCCCTTCCACCTCTTCTCCATCTTCCTCAACTCCCAATTCCTCTCTTCCCCTGTCTTATCCCCTTGTTCCATCCCTCTCTTTACCTCAACCACCTCTTCTTTACCCATATCCCTCCTTCAACTTAATCCTTACTCCTTAACCCTCCAACTTCCCCCTTCCCCTTCCCCTCCCTTCCTTCCCCTTCCCTCTGCTTTTTCCCTTCCCCTACTACCCCTATCCTCCACCCTATCCTCTATTCTATATAACCCACAACCCCCTATCCCTCCGCATGGTCCCCTAATTCATCCTACCCCCTTCCCCTTACCTTCCACCCTTCCCCTATCCCTTCCACTCTTCCCTTTCCCTTCCACCCTTCCCCTATCCCTTCCACCATTTCCCTATCCCTTCCACCCTTCCCCTATCCCTTCCACCCTTCCCCTATCCCTTCCACCCTTCCCTTATCCCTTCCACTCTTCCCTATCCCTTCCACTCTTCCCCTATCCCTTCCACCCTCCCCCTATCCCTTCCACCCTTTCCCTATCCCTTCCACCCTCCCCCTATCCCTTCCACCCTTCCCCTATCCCTTCCACCCTTCCCCTATCCCTTCCTCCACACCAAAACTACGGTTCATCCACAAAGACATTTCTTTGACACGAACTTTTTTTTTTCTTTTTTTTTTCCCCGAACCCACACAAACTAACCAAAAAACAACAACAACAACAACAACAACAACAACTAAACGAGGCCGGTTGATGCTGATCGCTCGCTGCACTTCTGACAAAGAGGTCATTAGCATATCCATTATAACGGGAAAACATACATTAAAAAAAAGAAAGAAAAAAAATATTGGGTGATTTGAAATCTGAGCTTTTCCGTTGAGCTGATGACGAGCTCTCTCCTACTCGCCGGGATATGGGGAGGGAAGGGAGGGAAGGGAGGGAAGCGGAAGAAGGAAGGGAGGGAAGGGAGGGAAGGGAGGGAAGCGGAAGAGGGAAGGGAGGGAAGCGGAAGAGGAAAGGGAGGGAAGCGGAAGAGGAAAGGGAGGGAAGCGGAAGGGGGAAGGGAGGGAAGGAAGGGAAGGGAGGGAAGCGGAAAAACAGGCCCCCACATTCCCCACAGAACCTCCCTAAACAAAAAGCAAAGAAGGAAGAAGAGGAAAAATGTGATAAAAGGGAAATCAGGAACACGAGAGCGAGCGCCATGCCGTAGCTTCCCCTCGTCGGCCTCGTCGCGCTTTCGTCGCCTCGGGCTGTGTGGGGGAGGGGGGAGGGGGGAGGGGAGGATGATGGGGAGGAGGGGGTTGAAAAGTGAAAAGGAGGGGATAGGATGATGGGGAGGTGGGGGAAGGATGGTGGGGAGGTGGGGGAAGGATGGTGGGGAGGTGGGGGGAGGAGGATGGGGAGGTGGGGGGAGGATGATGATGGGGAGGTGGGGGGGAGGAGGATGGGGAGGATGGGGAGGAAGGGGGAGGAGGGGGGATGATGATGGGGAAGAGGGGGGAGAATGATGGGGGGTTATGAAGGTTGGAGGTGTGGGTTAGGGAAACGAAGGGAAAGAAGAGAAGGGGATGGGGAAGGAGAGGGATGGAAAGAAAAGAAAAGGAAGAGAGCCAGTCAAAAGCAACATTAAATTCCACGGAGACCACCCCGTCTACATCTAACCCTCCCCCCTATCCCATCCCTTCCCTCCCCCCACCCCACCCCACCACTCCTCCTCCCCCCACCCCACCCCACCTCACCCCCACCTCCCCGTCGTACTCACAATGATCACGGCGATGACGGGCCCCACGAAGGCGAAGATGAAGTAGTTGTCCGCCCTGAGCCAGCACGCGTCCTCGGTGCCGTAGCTGAAGGGGTCGATGACGGCGCTCACGGCCACCACCACCGCCGGGAACCCGTAGGCGGCGCCGTAGTACCACCGGACGCGCGACTTCTCGGCCTCGAACACCTCCACCAGCATCACGTACAGCTGGAAACCTGCGGGCGCGAGAAGGAGAAATAGGATCGATGTGCGAGAAGAAGAGGAAGAGGAAGATGAAGAAGAAGAAGAGGAAGGAGAGGAAGAAGAAGAAGAAGAAGAAGAAGAAGAAGATGAAGAAGAAGAAGAAAAAAAAAAAGGATAAGATGAAGAAGAAGAAGAAGAAGAAGAAGAAGAAGAAGAAGAAGAAGATGAAGAAGAAGAAGAAGAAAAAGAAGAAGAAGAGGAAGAGGAAGAAGAAGAAAAAAAAAGAAGAAGAAAAAAAAAGAAATTAAAATAAAATAAAAGAAGAAGAAAGAGAAGAAAAAGAAATGAAAATAAAATAAAAGAAAAAATAAATAAAAGGGGAAATACAGTTAGAATACATGGAAGGACCATAAGAGGAATACTGATTTATGATAACGATGAAGAGCTGGTAAGAAGTTTCGCCAAAGAAATAAAACTGAAGTAGGACAAGATAATAAATGTGAGAAATAAACAATCAAATCGATAATTAAAAAAACGCCAGAAAGTCCCCATACCTAAAACCAAAGAAATGTTTCTCTTCAACTTATACATTAATTTCTTATTTCATTTACTGATTCATAAACTATCTTTCATAACCAAAGAAACAATTTTTTTTTCTACTTTAATTTCTTACTTCCTTTACCTCTCCTTTACATCCTTTATATAAAAAACGTACATCCACATATGCTTTATACCATATGGTCTTTATATCTAAAAAAAAATATATATCTATATCTCTATATATAATTTTATATAAAAGCAATATCTTTATATAAAAAACACATCATATCATCATTATCTATAAAAAACACATCATATCATCATTATCTATAAAAAAAACACATCATATCATCATTATCTATAAAAAAACACATCATATCATCATTATCTATAAAAAAACACTCTTCCCCACCTTCCATGAACATCCAGGCGAAGGCGGCGAGGAAGAAGAAGTGCAGGAGGCCAGCCACGACGCCGCACACCACCGGCTTGTCCGTCTGGTTCACGCCCGCCAGGAACACCGTCTCGGCGATCAGGAGACACACGCACAGGTTCTTGTGGATGGTCGTTCGGTCACTCTGGAGGGCGGCCGGGGGGGAAGGGGGGAAGGAGGGGAGGGGGAAATGCGTTAGTTAACTGGTTTGGGATTTAAAAGGCATGCATATACGCTCGCGAACACACGCACACGCACACGCACACACACGCACACGCACACACACACACACACACACACACACACACAAATCTGTTCACATCCTTTAAATCCCCCTTGTGGCCATGAGCCGATGAAATCCTGGTCCGTTAAGCTTAAGCAACCAATCTCTCTCTCTCTCTCTCTCTCTCTCTCTCTCTCTCTCTCTCTCTCTCTCTCCCTCTCTCCCTCTCTCTCAAACATGAATCTCATCTGCTTCCTCTCCTCCCCTTCCCTATGATTCGTAAGCTCTACTTCTCTAACTCCCTCCCCCTCCCCCTCCACTCCCCCTTCCCCCACCCCCTAGTTCCCCTCGCCCTCACCTTCAGGCCCCTAAAGGCATGGAACACGATGGTGGCGAGGAGCAGGCACACGATGGAGATGACGCAGCCGACGTAGGTGATGATGGAGAGGGCCAGGTGGTGCGAGTAGGCCAGGGGCGTCGCGTGCACGTCCATCAGCACGGCGAAGTTCGTCAGGTGGTCGCACTGGCACACCGTGTGGCTCGTGTTGTAGCGCAGGACGCGGCACCCTTCCTCCGACCACGAGCTGCAAGGGGGGAGGGGGGAGGCGGTTAGAGAACTCATGGTGAGGATCGTGATGGTGGTGGTGATATTCATTATCAAAATCACCATAATCATCATAACAATAAAATAATAACAATAATAATAATAATTATAATGATAATAATAATAACAATAATAATAATAATAATAATAATAATAATAATAATAACAATAATAATACCAATAATAACAATAATAATAACAATAATAATAGTGATGAAAAGAGCAACGGCATTACTAATCCGTAACGATAAGAGAGTATGGTATTGCTGATAATAATAACAACAGTGAGAACAATCACAATAATCAATCCATCTTAATGTAATACCCCATATTTAATTAGTATCTGTGCAAGGACTGATAATAAATTGCCTCCTCCCCTCCTTCCCTACCCCCCCCCACCCTCGTCCTCAAGCGCATACCACAACCGACACTCCCTCATCTTGACGGAGGCTGCGAGGTCTTCCCTTCCCTTCCCCTCCTCTCCCTCTTCTCCTCCGCAATCCTCCCTTCCCTTACCTTTCCTCTCTTTGCCTTTCCTCTCTCTTCCTTAGCCTCCCTTTCCTCCTCTCCTCTCCCACTCTCTCCTTCCTTCTCCCCTTCTCTCCCCTTACTCTACTTCCCTTTCGTTCTCCCTCCTCACCCTCTCACCAATAACACTAAACACGCTAATTTGCATACAATCACTACTTTATTGGCTGTAATGGTGAACAAATTAATACACGCTGTAAAGGCAACGCGGGCGGGGAGCATCCGGCAGCTTCCCTAACTGGGAGGGCGTCACAAAACTCGCCCATTAGTGGAACCAATAAAAACCACACCCTCGGCGTTTTCAAGGGATCACAAAACCACTTTTGAAATAGTAATGACAATAATAACCACGATAATGATAATCACACAACAATGATGATAATAACGATGATACAACAATAAAACAATAAATGATAATAACAATAATACAACAAATAATGATAATAACGATAATACAACAATAAAACAATAAATGATAATAATGATTATACAACAACAATAAAAATAATAACGAAATGAAAAACAATTCATCCAAAAGATCTCATTACAACAAAAGCGATCGTACATTTCCTTAAAGAGACGGAACGAAAATATCGACGCATACACTTCATTCGTTTTTTTTCTTTTCTTTTCTTTTTCTTTTCTTCTTCCTTTCTTTTTAGTATCGCCATTTTTCCATTCTTCTTCTTCAAAGGGAGACGGATATACAGTGGCACAGACGTTCATGAAGGGCAGACGTTACGAAAAAAAATGTCGAGATGTGACTCATACAACGCCAGCTGAATCTACGCGAGAGGGAGGACATTGCGTAACAGAGGAGAGGGATGATAAGAAGCAAACGAAGGGAGAGGAAGAAAAGGAGAGAGGGAAGAAGAGAGAGGAAGAAGAGAGATGAAGAAGAGAGAGGAAGAAGAGAGATGAAGAAGAGAGAGGAAGAAGAGAGATGAAGAAGAGAGAGGAAGAAGAGAGATGAAGAAGAGAGAGGAAGAAGAGAGATGAAGAAGAGAGAGGAAGAAGAGAGATGAAGAAGAGAGAGGAAGAAGAGAGAGAAGGAGACGGAGGAAGAGAGAGGAAGAGAGGGGAAGAGAGGGAAGAAGAGAGAGGAACAGAAGGAACAAGAGAGGGAGAGAAGAAGGAAGAAGTGAGGAGGAGGAGAAGAGAGAGGAGAGGAGAAGGAAGAAGTGATGAGGGGGGAGTGTAGAGGGAAACGGTAAATAATGAGAGGAGGAAGGAGAGAAAAAGGAAAGAAGTCAAAAGCATGAATGAGATGTGGCGAGGAAATACGAAAGGGGGAGAAAAAGATAAAACAAATGAAACAGAGAGAGTGAGAGAGATGGCCCAGGCAAAAAAGAGGAGAGTATAAAGAAAGAAAGATAAATAACCAAATGTAAACTAAAAAAAGAAGAAGAAAAACACAAAAACAAAAGCGTAAACAAACAAGACGCAAAAGATAAGACTAAGAGAGACAGAAAGAGAGAGAAAGAGAAAAAGGCACACATGGATACCCAGAAAACGAATGAAAGCAGGCAAGCAAGCGCAAAAGTAAACAAAAAACAAACAAGAACTAAACAAAAATAAACAAAAAGCAAACATACAAAGACCAAAAAGCTTCATAGTGGTCCTCGACGCCCAACATAGCACTGGAAACTTAATACCGTAATGCACGCAAAGGAGGTAAATACCAGTAAATACCAGGTGATACCAGCGGTAAACATTATGACTGGGTGTTTATAAGGATACCTTGCTGTAGGGAGGAAGGAGGTGGAGGAGGGGGAGGGAGAGAGACGGGGAGGAGGAGAAAGAGAAGAGGAAAGAAGGGGAGATAAGGAGAAAGGGAGATAGGGAGAAAAGAGGAAAAGAGAGAAGGGGAAATGAGGAGAGGAGAAAGGAAAGGAGAGGAGAGAGGAGAGGGAAGATGGGAAGAAATGAGAAAGGGACAGGGGAGGAGGAGGAGGACAAAGGGACAGGAGAGGAGAGGAGGAGGAGAAAAGGAAGAGGGGAGGAGGAGAAAAGTTAGAGAGGAGAAGAGAGGAGAAGGGAGAGAGAGGGAGAGAGAGGGAGAGG